ATACTTGAGCATATATAAGGCTTCTTATGACTGATGGATAAGAAATCTTCTGCGTCTCTGTAGACCCTTAATCATTCTTAGGGTGCAAATTGAGACTAAACTTGTGTCTTCTAGTACCAAGGGTATCATAACTTTACAATCTTATATATCAAATCTCACAAAAGACTTTCTCAATATAGCTATTTTGTGACAACCTTGAGATATTTCGAGGGTGATCTCGGTATATCTCAATGCCTAATATATGAGGTTTCATTGAAATCCTCATCTCAAATTTTTTTAACAAAAACTATTTAGTGTCAAATAATAAGTCTATATCATTACTAATAAGTAATATGTAATCGATGTATAAAAGTAGAAATATGTGTTACTCCTACTGAACTTATGATATACACATTCATCACTTATATTCATCTCAAAAGTAGATGAGATGATAACTTGATGAAATTTGTGATACCATTGACGGGAAGCTTAATTTAACTTATAAATGGACTTCTTTAATTTACATATCATTTTCTTTGGGTCTTCAGATACAAAGTTTTCTAATTGCATCATATATATCATTTGATCGATGTCACTATTGAGAAACATAGTCTTTACATCTATTTGATGTAACTCAAGATCAAAATGAGCTACTATTGTATTATTATTTTAAAAGAATTATTCGATGAAATCAAAAAGAAAGCCTCTATATAATCAATGTCTTCTCTTTGAGTGAATCTCTTAGCGACAAGATCAATTTGATATCTTTTCATATTACTTCTCGAATCTCTTTTAGTTTTAAATATTCAATTATGATCAATAGGCTTCGCACCTTGGGGTAATGCGACCAGATCCTAAATATTATTGTTCTTCATAGATTTAATCTCTTAATTCATGGCATCGATTCACTTCTGAGTATTAGAACTTTGCATAAGTTGATGGAAGTTGATAGGATCATCTTTCATCACTCTGATATTAGCCTCATGTTCTAAAAGAAATATGATGTATTCATGTGAAATCGCATTCCTCTTTCCTCTAGTGATCTTTTTAATGGCACTAGTTCTTAAGTATCTTGAGTTTGTTCTTCTAAAGTGGGAAGCATGATGATATTATTTTGATTTGACGTTGCTTCTTAATTAATGTTAGTCAAGATGATGCCATCAAGACCATTATCAATAATAATAGTTGGAATATTTACATATTCCTCTTCACAATCAATATCTCTAACCTTATCTCCCCTTGTAAACTCAACATCCTCAAAGAAATAAGTATTTTCCATTTCAAAAATAATCTTAATAGTGATATTATAAAACTTATACTCTATAAACCTTTCTAGGTAGCTAATAAAGTACTAACTAACTATTTTAGAGTTAAGTTTATTTTCATTAGGTCTGTAAAGTCTTGCCTTTGTCAGACAACCCCAAATGTGCAAATATTTTAAACTAGGCTTATTACCATCTAAAGCTCATAAAGAGTTTTGATAGTTGACTTAGTTGGAATTTGATTAAGTAAATATGTTATAATCTTGAGTACTCTCTAGAGCTTATCTAGTAAAGTAAATTGACTAATGATACTTCTTATCATATCTTTAAGTGTTCTATTTCATTATTTAGTAACACCATTCATAATAGGAGATCTTAACATGGTGTATTGTAGGATGATGCCATATTCTTCTAGGAATTTAATAAAAGATATTAGATGTTGTTCACCTAATCTATCATATCTACCATAATATTCACTACCATAGTTTGATTTGATGACCATTTAATCATTTGTTGAGTTAATTCTCAACTTTAAATTTATATTCTTGAACATAAACAATGATTAAAATTTATCATGAATAAGATACTAATAGCCAGATCGAAAATAATAGTCTATGAATCTAATAAAATATTATTAACTATTTCAAGAGGTCATAGGGAATGACTCACAAATATTTATATATATATTAATTCTAAGATGTCTAAAACTCAATTAACACATATTTGCTTTATGTTTATTCTTTTTACCTTGATACATTCGACATGTGTCAAAATCCTTATAATCAAGTGGGTCAAGAATTCCATCTAATGCAAGTCGATCAGTTTTCTTTTTAGAAATATGACATAATATCTTATGTCATAATAACATGGAATTCTGATTGATTAATTTTGTTTTTGTACTCCTTAAATTGATATGTATATATCATTAGAAATGACTATTATGTCAAGTAATTGTAAGTTATCATGACTTGATAAAATACCAGTACCAATATGATTTGAATTATCAAAGAGACTAAATTTTATGTTTCTAAATAAACAATCATCACCAAAATTTTCTAAATTAAAAATAAAAAATAAGTTTTGTCTAAAAGACGGTACAATATAAGTCTCAATCGAATTTAAATAGTGAGCAATCTTTAACAATAACCTAAAAGTCCCTATTGCCTCCACTGCTATTGTATTGTCATTACTTGAATAAATGTATCTTTTATTATCAATTGACTTATAACAATAGAGGTAACTTTACATAGACATGCTTATGTGAATAATAGCACTAGAGTTTATTCATCATGTGTAGGGGCACAGAAGTTAAATTAACTTTTGAACAAACAAAAGTGAGAAAGTCACCTTTCTTTGTACATTAAGTATGATCCTTGGTATAATCTTTCTTCATGTGTCCATCATGCTAGTAAAAGAAATAAGTGGATTTCTTATCTTACTTCATTTATTATTTCTTTAGTGGTGATCTATCTACAACTTCATTGGCCAGAGGTTTTTTTTAATTTTATTTTCAAAGGTCATGGCCAAATGAGTATTCTCATATCAATCTTACTTCAACATTTATTCTTCTTACACACAATGTGATATTAGCTCATTTAAGGACTATTTGTCCCTTTGATAATTATAGTTCACCTTAAATTGATTCAATTATGTTAGAAGAGAAATCAAAACTATGTGCGTGACATGACTTGGTCGTTGTATAATAAATCATATAAATTTAAATTTATAAATTTATTAAATATTTTTTTTATTTTTAAAATATTTATAAATAAATAAATTAACTATACTTTAATAAAATTTTTCAAAAATAATGGAGAACTTCCTAGTTGATCATAGGGATATAAGATGATACTGAGTAATATTTTAGAATTTTTCTAAAGAATATTATTTTTTATGATTTTTAGACTAAATAATAAATATAAAATATATTTAAAAATTCAAAAAAAGGAAAATAATGGTACAAACATCAAAATGATGTCAGCACCTTGAGGAACATGATTTGAGTAGAAATAAAGTTCCACCTAGTGATTCTCACATAAGCAATTACAAAAGATTTAATGGGTCAAATTAATATATGTAAAAGCAAGAAAAATCGTAATTGAATGAAATGGTTTTAGAAATTTGAAATCACACAAAGTATCACTAAATTAAGTGAAGATTAAGTTGAAAGCAAGAAAGGTAGAGCTTTGACCTTGTGACAATGATTATCAAAATTTTGTGTTCGAGAGAATTATTGAACAATGTCCATAGTCTCAAAGACTCTCCTCAAATATGACTAATTTGGACATTTAGTAGATCTTCTTTTAAAGTCCAGAAAAGGATGATAAAATTAAATTAATTAAAATAATAACAAAATAGAGTTCCAATGTCATGATGCTGATACATTAATGATATGTCAAAATCCTGAACATTCAAGAGGATTGTCATGCAATGTCCATGACCTCAAAAGCTCTCTTTAGACAAAGATGATGTGAGCAATCTTTAAATTTTCTTGTGAAGTTTAGAAATCAATGAAGTGGGTTGTTGAGTCATCTCCAACAGTTGTCACCCAATGGAATGAAAAAATGGCAACTTTGTGACTCTTCAATGGTTGTCACATGAGAGAGCTAAGCTAGATGGAGCTAGGGCACGTTTTGAAGAGCTTCATCTTCAAGTCCACACAACAAGACGAAACTCTTCATTGCATCGAATATGTTCTCAAAAGATGGTGACTTATCTCCTAAAAAATCATAATCTTCTCGATGATGACTTGTTCATCAATCAAGCAGAGATAATTTACTTGATGAATTCATGATCTTTTTATTAAGAATTGTTCAAAAATTTTAGTAACGATGTTCCATGAATCACGTTGATGAGATTTTCATCAATGATTGAGTGATTATGGTGACTTAATCATTCATTTGTAATCTACAAGAAAATTGTGATTTAATCAGATAAAAATATGAATTTAGGCTATAGTAGGATTTGAACCCTTGCCGGTTGCCCACTCACATGAGAGAGAGTGAAATAAGTATATGAATATCCTTATAAAGTGACATTATAAGGATATATCTTTTAGGCACTAAAATCATTAAAACTTTTTGCAGAGGGTGTGACAATTAGTTTAGTCTCACATTAGTTATTTTATGAGTTTTGAGGTATATATAACAACAAAGATTTTTTGATCAATAAGTCTCTCTTTTGTGTGTATACGACTGCTCCTTGGCCCATGCATGACTAGCTACTAGTGACATAGAAGTGGAGTGAAACACACGTGTCACTTATCAGTTCATCTTTAGCTACTCGAACCCCTACTTGTGGCTCCACCCGATTGTGCTTCTGACTTGCTAACAAATAAAATAATTACCCTGATAACTTTTGAAATATTTCTCAAATATGCATTATTCTCCCTAATTTGATGATAGATTAACATATAGTTTTCACAAGTTATCACATCCCCCAACTTGAATCATTGCTAGTTCTTAAGCAATGAAAATAAAACATATCTTTAAAAATTAAGAAACATCATCAACTAATAATGGATCAATTATATATCAGAACTAATATGAAATAACCTTCTCAAATGATTATATGATCTATGCCAAGCATAGGTAGTAAAACCACCTTTGGTATAAAAGTATTTCCCAAGGACTTCAAACATTTTCATGATCTTAAGCATGCTTCTCAATATTCTACATATAATAATAATTGTACTACATAAGGAAAATAATTCATTTCATCAAGAAATAGCATTGATAGATACGTTATGCTATAAATGATATGCATGGGATAGAGATTGTCTCAAATCTTGTATATAAATGGCTATATATAAAATCGAAGGCACATGGAAAGTAATTTTCAAAAATCAAGCAATAATTAATGGGGTTTTATCCTCAGTACTTGCTAGGAGAGTAATGCCCAGGTCTCATAGTGCACCCCCTACGCTTTCCTTTGGTTCTACCCCTCACAACTTTTCTTTTTTTCACTTTGAATACTTGCTACGTGAGAGATACCTTGATGTCTCACAGCATACTCCCTGTGCTTTCTTCAAGTTCAAGATATTTTTATTGCTAATAGTTGTAATATTCTTTCCATGTGTTGCTCTAATTAGACATGCACCTTATTTCCCCGAAGAGGTTTTGTATTGCTCTATGGTTTAGGGGGCTTCACTCTGTCATAAATACTAGTTGCCAAAGAAATTGACAAAAGCTCTATCTCATGCTAAAAAAAGATTTTCATGTAAGATTTAATCACACTAGATCATGAGAGGTAAATAAGTAAAATGAGAAGTCTAAGAATCAAACAATAATAAATATAACCATGAGTTTGAGATGTATGCTTCAATTCACTTCCATGTTTTTAACACAACCTAGGGAAATGTTTGAACCTTTAGCATGACATAGAACTTACAACTTACAACATAGAGTAAGTTCTTCATCTAGCCCATCTATAAATCAATCCATAGAGTACTCCATGATGTATTCTTTATTTCAATATTTTCATAATTAATATGCAAGAAATCATACAAATAATTTTCCATAAACTCATTTTCATGCACTAAATTGTATCTTTGAGTTTTTCTAAATTTTCTCCTTGCCCCTTAATTTAGTCATTTTATTGTCCCTAATAAAATATCCTATTGAGATTATAAAAGAAATAAGCATCATAGCATTTATCTCAAGTATGAAATATCAAGAAGGAAAGTTTAGAAAAACTCATTGAATATTCATAGATGATTCTTTAGCTCCTTGAATTTTCTGTTGATGTTATCCATTCTCTCCCTTAAATTATCTAAAAAGAGAAATCATTAACTAAAATATAAGAATGTGAAAATTGTCAAATAAAAGAATAGATAATGAATGAAATATGGAAGAGTGGAGAGTTGAAGTAAATAAAAAGTGCAGAAAAGAAAATTATTTTTTGAACTAAAATAAATCAATCTAAAGACAAATCGAAATGACAAAAATAATGCATATGGATTCAGCTACCAAGACAAATTGAAAGACAAATTCAGTCTTTCCAAAACCGTTAACTAATCGATGACAATCATCTCTAATATATCTGTCATATTGAAAATTTTTCTAACATTTTCTACACAGAATTAGAGGGAAATTGGATACTCTTTGAAGCTTAGAAAAACTACAAGAAGACACTAAGCTAAGGAAAAAGAATTGATTCAGCACAATCATCCGTAATGTGATTAATGTGTTAAAGTCTTCTACAATGAGCTATCTTTCTCATGTGAAAAACAGAATAAAATTTAAGCACCATTCAGCTTCAAGTTCATCAAACTTCTAGACAAATATAAAGTCAATGTCAACAACCAAAAATATTTTACGGTGAAGTTCTTCTTTATTATTGTGGAAAATTGTGATTAAAATTTATTTAATCACTTAAGAGATCTAATTTGTGCAATCATTACTATTAAGTGATTATTGGGATCTATAACCAAAATTCCAGTAGAAAATCTTACAATGAAATTCTACGATTTATGTACTTAATAATCAATCAATTTAGTGATAACCAATAATTGTTATTAGAGAGTGCATGTAGCCAAGGAGTCAAACCACGATAAATCCTAGCATATTCAATATTTAGATCTTGGAGAATTATAGGAATTTGGAATAAAAAGATACAAATAGCTCACTAAAGTTAAATTTAGGATCCACTCAATTCAATTATTTTTTTTTTATGAAAGGATGGCCTAAAATGCAACACAACATACTATTTACCATATGCTAGGACATTACTAAGAACACTGAATGTAGCCATTTACAAATTATTTCTTAATCCTTTTCACTTCTCCTAACATATAAGTGGATAAATATTTTGAGCTATCATAAAATAAGATGTTGCTCACATACCTCTATGTTTGTATAATTTTATTTTAAATACTTTCCTTTTTTGTACTAGAACAATTTATATGAATTTTTATTAATTAGATACAATTGGTGTTACCTAAGTACTTGTAGACATGCACACTTATCAATTATTTTTGTAATTTCTTTGATCATTTCTCTGTCTTCCACTCTCAAGAATAATGGCTCTCTTTATTGATTGTCAAGGTAGTGGGGCCTCAACAAGCCAGTAAAATAATTTTAAATTTTGAATTTGATGATTTTAAATTAAAAAAACTAAAATTACTTTATGTCAAAGAAGGATTTTACATGTGTTTCAATACTATGTTTAAAGAGTTACCTTATCTCATTTTTGTATATTCGATGAAATTAGTTAAGTCATATTTATTATTTCTGTCCTTTGTTTAAATAATTCACCATCATGGTAAAGTTTGGGAAGGCTTCTCCTTTTATTTCATATTAAGTATCCAATATACAGGCAGAAATAGTCGATTTAGGTAGTAGGAGAATAAGAGATAAAAATAAGCTTAGGATCATATTAGATCATAATATTTTCCAAGAGGGTCATAATCCTGAACTAGATTTATATTATGATGCCACGTGACCATTCCTTTTCCACAATGGGTGTGGCCTGCACTTGTCAAATGAACTCAGCTATAGCGTGCATCGGCCCTCTACATTTTGACCCATTTTATCTGCTCGTGAGTCCGACATTAGATTTCCCCCAATGGAGATTTAGGGGCAGTTGCACTCACCTTGCCTGTGTCAGATTGGATCTAATGGAGATTTGGGCTCACTTGCCCTCAATTTCTTGATCTCACGTCGGATTTCGTTGAGATTTGGGCCCACTTGCCATCAATTTCTTGATCTCACGTCTTCTTGGCCACCATTAGGCAATTGTCCCCGGAGCAAGTCTGGTGGAGGATGATTCAACGGCCAGACCAATCCTTGGGGTGAAGGGCCGGCCTAACCTCATTGAAAGGACAACTACTCAATAACGTAATTAAACGTAATTATAATGAAAAGGACTCTTGCACTTCCCTTATTGGTCTCATGTTGGACCTGGTCAACGTACGAGGGACCCCGGATCGGGACCTTCATTTAGTGTGGTGTGAAGGAGAGGTCGGAACAATGGAGAGGCGCACAGCAGCGTCAGCGTTTTCGATGGACAAGAAATACAAGAATAACAAGAAAACCACTACCAAGTGGAACATAAAGAACAAGAAAACGGGAAGCGGAACAAGAGGAAGGATAATAGTATAAGAAGAAAAAGAAGAAGAACATGAACAAGAACAGAACGAACAACGAGTTTGACAACTTTCGTTCCATACCTCATATAGAGGAGCCCGAAATATTATTAATTAAAAGGAGGGGAATGGGAAGAGTGAGTGGCGTCAGAGCTTAGGATCTACACGGATGACACTGTATCTTGCCATATCCCAGAGCCTTCCCTTTTTCGCGTTGAACTTGCGGTGCTCCCCCTCCTTCGTGAACCCGGCCTTCCCTAGGGCCTTCTGTGCCGCCGCGTTCTCCAATGCCACCAGGGCCTCCAGTCTCTGCACCGCGGGGAACTCCTTGAAGATGGCGGCTACTGCTATCCTCAACGCCGCTGTCATGATCCCTTGGCTCCAGTTCTCGCGGATGACGCTGCCTGAAAGCTCGGCCCGGCAGGTGTTTCTCCCCAACTTCGGCTTGGCGGACAGAAAGCCCACGGGCGTGCCATCGAAGCAGACGGCCCTGAACCAAGGATGGGGGAGGATGGTACCCTTGAGGTACTCCATAGCGTCCTCCCGCGTATTGAGGGTCTCCCAGTGGGTGTTGTAGCTGACCTGGTCATCTCCCATCAACCTAAGAAGGTGGCCGACATCAGAGAGCTCCATACGCCGGAGGGTGACCTCCGGTTGCCTCGTCTTCTTGGCCACCATTAGGCAATTGTCCCCGGAGCAAGTCTGGTGGAGGATGATTCAACGGCCAGACCAATCCTTGGGGTGAATGGCCGGCCTAACCCCACTTAAAGGACAACTACTCAATAACGTAATTAAACGTAATTATAATGAAAAGGACTCACCTGAAATAAATAAATAAATATATATATATATATATATATATATAGAGAGAGAGAGAGAGAGAGAGAGAGAACGATATTGGAATGTCTTAAGTAAATTCAGAAAGAGTTCAAATTAATAGTATTAAATATTCAAATAAGAAATCAAGTGATGTATTTCAGTCTTGGGCCACCATTAGCCAAATCAGAATGAAAGTTTACTAATAGTGATGTGAGACAAGATCATGAAAGTGAATAACTTACGTAAGCCAAGCAATTTACACTCAAGTTTTGCAAAGTTCTAATGATTAAGAGGGATGACTATGGTAAGATCAAATTCTTTCCTGCAAGATTTGAAATAAAAGGATTGACATAGTTAAGATATCACCAATGATTATGGTGCTCCACAATCGGATGACCTAATTGAAATCTTGTTATCTCTTGATGTAAAGGTCATAAGTTTTTTTTTTCAAGATAAAAATAAATTTAACTATTTAATGAGTTCTGAGTTGACAATTGAAATTTAGGTGAAACTCATATTTTTATTGACATATGGAGTGTAAATAGAACAGCTGATACACATATATGAATTGTTTACAATGCAGCCTAGTGAATCCATCACCAAAATATTTTATCATTATTATTTCTAAGGAAGGCTACAAAAGTCTCAAGATGAGGGAAGGAAGGGGTGACCTTAATGTTGGAGTATTACATAAATAATCTTTTGATGATAAAAAACATGTTTAAAAGGTCAAATTATATGTAATTCACAATGTTCATGATGCATGAATATTTTAACATAATCAAAAATATTAATGATAATAACTTATATGAGAGACCATTGAACATCTGATTAGTACCACTAACACATAAATAAGATAGATATCTGGGTCTAAAATCATCATATTATATATTGTTATGGAAGACATTAATTTTTACAGAATATGCCACAATATGAAACTAATGATAGACACATTAGAAGCAATGAGACAATAAAATGCAAAGTATGAGTATGAAAGTATACTTAGTCTACAGTGTTCTTGTTATACTTGATCATTACTTTTTTTGCTTTTGATATCATTTGAATCAATTGAATTAAGATCGTTTACTTGAACAAATATGATTTTTACTTGAACAAATATGGAGGTGGGATGTATTTTAGGGAGCTTCATCCTCAGGTATGTATAACAAGAGGAGACTCTTCATTGCATCTAGTATGCTCTCAAGAGGTGGTGGATTGTCATCTTTCTAATGACAACTTATTCATCGATCAATCAAAAATGATTTACTTAATGAATTCATAATCTTTTCATTTAAAATCATTCAACAATTTTAGTAATGATACTCCACGAATCGTTTTAATGAGATTTTTGCCGATGATTTAGTAATTTTGATGACTTAATCTTTCACCAATAATCTATAGGAAAATCATGATTTAATTAGATAAAAATATGATTTTTAGCTCTAGTATGATTCAAACCTGCCAATCATCTGCTTACATAAGAAAGAGTGAAATCAGTATGTGAATAACTTTATAAAATGACATCATAAGGGTATCTTAGATATTAAAATTATTAAAACTTTCTAGAGAGGCTATAACCATCGATTTAATCTTAGATCAGTTATATACTGAATTTTGATGTGGATATATAGTAATATGAGATTTAGTAGTCAATAAGTCCCTTTCTTGTATGTGTACACCACACTCGATTGACATTGGTGATGTGAAAGGAGAGTAATGTACACATGTCTTCTACCAATTTATCCTCAATTGCTCAAGCCCCTACTTGTGGCTCTACTTGACTCTACTTCCAACCCACTTGTAGGCTCAACTGGCCAGTGAATTCCTCCCTTTTTCTATCTTTTTTTTTCTTCATTGATCTTAAAAATAAGATTTTAAAATTATATAAAATCATATAAAATCACATAATTAACTATAAAATTATATTAACAAAGTAAAAATCACTTTTACTAATTTAACATAACTATAAGTCTATTTATCATGATTTAAGACTAAAATGTTAATATTAATTAATTATTAACTTATGATAATGAAGACTTATTACACCCTAATGGTGAGCAAGACCCATCTCCATCAGCTCAAGAGACACCAATAGTCTGAGTTTAGCCCGATCGATGCACGAAGATGAAAGAGCCTGACTTTTGTTACACGACCTATCCCTTCGGGACAACAACATTCCACCTCCGCGACGACGATGAGTTAGAGCTCACCTGTATCTTTCTTTGTATTTTCACGTTGACTTGTTGGGCCTTACATTTGTGTGTTAGCGGGCCCAATTCTATGTGTGTGTGTTGTTGTTTGTCTCCCTTTCTTTAGGGTTTTATTGGGTCTCTCTTTGAGGCCCAATTAAAACCCTAAGGAGAGGGGGACCTATGTGTCTTTCTTTTTGGGCCTCTTTTGGGGCTTATTTGGGTCTTCATTTGAGGCCCACTGAAGCACCGTAAAAGGGCCCTCCTCTTTCTCCTTTTAGGGGAGCTTATTGGGTCTCTCTTTAAGAGGCCCAATAAGCCCCTTTGTAGCCTTTGTGGCTTATGGGCTTGAGGGTCTCAAGTGGGCCCACCTCTCCTTAGCCCACTTGTGGGCCCCCATATAAGGGGAGGTAGGACCCCCCCTCAAAGGAGCGCCGTATTTTTGAGAGATTATTGTTTTGTGAGTACCTTCTCCCTGATCTAGGATAGGGAGGGAAGGAGGAAGAGGAAGGCCGTCGATACCCCCTTCAAGGACTTCATTCCTCATGATGCTGCTGCCTGAGAAGTCTTGCTGCCGCCTGAGACCACTGCCACCACCGGCCATCTCATTGCCGCCCGAGAGCTCGCCACCGTCACCGGACGAAACAGTCGCGGTTGCCGCTGCAGCTGCCGCCGCCTCTGTTAGAACCCCGTCATGCCGTCGTGATGAAAGGGGTTCGTTTCGCCTCGCTATGAGCCGTCGCTGAGCACTCCGCGAGAGTTTCTTGACTCCTGGTTCGACTGCCGCCTCTTCCTCCGGAACTCCACCATAAACTCGCTGGAGCCGCCCTTTGCCACTCTGCCCAGTCGCTGGCCATTCGCCGATGAATGCCTGCCTACCGCCGACGTCGGGAGAGACCCTGCAACCATGCCGACGAGCCAGAACCAGTCCCAGCTCCTCATAGGCCCCCGCCGGAGTTTCCTGACACTCCGTCGCCGTCGCGCCGTTTCCGGTGCCGCTTAGACTAGAAGAGCTCAACCCTCCCTAGTATCGTCAGCCGGATCGTCTCCTCTCTACTCTGCTTCCCGGCGCCTCCAGAGAGGCCGATCCTTCTGGTGACGATTGGGTTTCAGCCCCAACCACCGACACTCAGCCTTCCCGCCAAAGCACCGCCGATGCTCGGCCTTCCTACCAAAGTGCCGCTGACACTCGGCATTCCTGCCGAAGTGCTGCAGACGCTCGGCCTTCCCACCGAAGCACTACCGCCGTGCGCGCCCCGCGCGCCAGCTCTTGCGTGCCCTAAGGCCGCCGCGCGGCTTGCCTCCTGCGCCCGCTAGCATGCCCTTCGGCCCACCAGCGGACCCATGCTCGCTAGCGTGCCCTTCGGCCCACCAGCGGGCCCACACCCGCGCCGACACTGAGCATCTCTCTTCACCAGACGTCCCTAACTTCATCGGATCTCCGCTCCGTCATGACCTGCTGGGCTACGCAGCCCTGAAGGTTAGCTCTATACCCCTTCTTACTTAAGTTTAATTATCTTTCAAAAGATTTTTTCGGCTCATCTCTACCACCATCAGGAGCATGTAGATAGGATAGGACAAGTTATCAGATCATGACTTCCGACACTGCACCAGATTCACCACTATTCATGAGCTACAGCCCTAGGCTACCTCACGACGACTGTTCTGCTGTCTGTCCAGATGTGGACCGAAAGGGCCTCACACTTACCATCGTCGAGTGTTTCCTCGAGTTGTCTAAGGTTAATCATGCATATTGGTATGTCTGCTTGTGCTTAGGTTATGTGGTCAGACCTAGAGTCTAGGGTCCAAACATTCTTATCAGATTCGTCTAACTACCGATCTTGAGTTTTATTGATTACATATAGGGGGTTCTCACCCCGTCCTACATCACACCCCCTAACTTAAATCATTGTTCATTCCATGATCATGTCTTTTCCACCACATAAGACACTATCTATTTTGATTTTAATTTTTGTGAGAATATTTTTTACCTAGAATCATATAACCACACTTCTTATCCAACATTAAAAAAATTATACTAAGTATTTATCGTGAAATGTTTTTTTTTTTACATATTCTATGATTTTCATAAGCTTCATTCCTCAACTCCTCTAATTCATGTAATTGAAAACTTCTATGGTAACAAGCTGATTTTTCATTCATACATACATTTTTATAGCCCATGATACTTTATACTTCATTTTCATAGGAAAATAACATGGTTTTCTAAAAATAAGATAAAATGGGGACATATTTATAAGACAATAATATATCTTGTAATTTTGTGGCTAATCCTTCCTATCTAGTCTAATATATTTTATTCAAAAAAATTAAATTTTCCTATTTGCTACTTCAGCTTGCTGATTTTTTTAGAGATGATATGGAGTGACTACTTCATGGTGTATTCTATTCTTTTTTAATAGTTTCTTAAAATATTTATTTGTAAAATGTGTTACTCCATCACTAATAATCAGTCTAGACATCCAAATTTTGAAAGAATATTTTTCTGCACATAATCAACAACAAGTAACAGCTAATAATCAATAGCAAGTAAAATATATTCATATTTTTCAACTGATGAGAAGAGATCCATAAACTCAATACTCCTACATAAAAAATTGCAACTACTAACACGTTACTTATGGGCATTTCATCTCTTTTATTCATGTT